CTCACACGTTTCGTGGCTCCATAAGGAGCTCCACCGAAGGCCCCATTGCCCGCGCCCGCATGCGTCACCCACACCCATTCCGGCACACCCCTCACACGTTTCGTGGCCCCATAGGGAGCTCCACCGAAGGCCCCAGTGCCCGCGCCCGCATGCGTCACCCACACCCATGTCGGCACACCCCTCACACGTTTCGTGGCTCCATAGGGAGCTCCCCCGAAGGCCCCAGTGCCCGCGCCCGCATGCGTCACCCACACCCATTTCGGCACACCCCTCATACGCTTCGTGGCTCCATAGGGAGCTCCACCGAAGGCCCCAGTGCCCGCGCCCGCATGCGTCACCCACACCAATTTCGGCACACCCCTCACACGTTTCGTGGCTCCATAGGGAGCTCCACCGAAGGCCCCAGTGCCCGCGCCCGCATGCGTCACCCACACCCATTTCGGCACACCCCTCACACGTTTCGTGGCTCCATAGGGAGCTCCGCCGAAGGCCCCAGTGCCCGCGCCCGCATGCGTCACCCACACCCATTTCGGCACACCCCTCACACGTTTCGTGGCTCCATAGGGAGCTCCACCGAAGGCCCCAGTGCCCGCGCCCGCATGCGTCAGCCACACCCATTTCGGCACACCCCTCACACGTTTCGTGGCTCCATAGGGAGCTCCACCGAAGGCCCCAGTGCCCGCGCCCGCATGCGTCAGCCACACCCATTTCGGCACACCCCTCACACGTTTCGTGGCCCCATAGGGAGCTCGCCGAAGGCCCCAGTGCCCGCGCCCGCATGCGTCAGCCACACCCATTTCGGCACGCCCCTCACGCGTTCCGTGGCCCCATAGGGAGCTCCGCCGAAGGTCCCAGTGGGTGTGCCCGCATGCGCCCCGCGCACACCCATTTCGGCACACCCCTCGTACGTTGTCGTGGCCCCGTAGGGGGCTCCACCGAGAAGATATTCACAATTGCAGTATTCACAATTGCATATGGTTGGGTCCTTCGCCAGGATATTTTTTTGGGGGGGGCTGCCCGCGGGCGCCTCGAAAATACATGTCCTTGGCTGTTTGCAGGTGCCTCCGATCGCGTGTCCCAGGCAGCCCGCGGGTGCCCCCCAAATGCGCTTCCCGGGCTGACCGCGGGTGCCTTCCAAGTGCTGTCTTTCAGTTGCCCGCAGGTGCTTCCCAAGTGTTTTTCCAGGGCTGCCCGCAGATGTCTTTTGAGTTCTTCGTCTGGGCTGAACGCGAGCGCATCACAGGGGCTTTCCTGCGTTGCCCGCGGGCGCCACCCAACTGTTTACTTGGGGGTCCCGCAGGCGCCCGCGAAAGATTTTCTTGGACACCCCGCAGGCACCTCTCCCGGGCTGCCCGCAGGTACCTCCAAAGCACCTGTCCCGGGCTGCTCGAACGGACCCCCACATGCATGTCTTGGGCTGGCCGCAGGTACCTCCGGAGTGCCTACCCCGGGCTGCCCGCAGGTGGCAGAACCGCCGCGGTCCCATTGCACCGCCGGGCCCGGGACGCCGCTGCCTTTTGTGCCTGCTGGCCCGGGCTTCCCTGCTGGGGCCTGGTGCGAGGCCCCGAGGCCTAAGCGGAGGTGCGCCGCGAGAGTCCAGGCCTCCATGTGGGGCCCGAGTGGATGCGAAGGGTCGCTCCGCGTCGCCGACGCATCGGTGATGCGGCTCGATGTGGATTCCACCTTTCTCCGTGCCGCGGGCCCCGGGACTGTCAGACAACGACCCAGGATGAAGAGTTGGCCCTGGCTGGAAGGCTGGGGTCCAGGACCCGTTTCCCTCATGACCCGTGTCCCCCATGCGAGCCCCCCCCCCCCCATGGCCGCCCGTGACGGCTCCTCCTCCTCCTCCTCCTCCTCCTCCTTCTCCTCCTCCTCCTCCTCCTCCTCCTTCTCCTCCTCCTCCTCCTCCTCCTCCTCCTCCTATTCCCTCCCTCTCCTCCTCCTCTTCCTCCTCCTCCTCCTCCTCCTCCTCCTCCTCCTCCTCCTCCTCCTCGGAAGGCGGAGTGCCGGCTCTCCCCGTCGGCGGAGCAGGACGTCCACGAGGCGCTGTTGCAGGCTGCGCCGGCCACGGCCGCGGGTGGGCGGAGGTCAGAGGAGGAAGAGCCAGGAAGGGGAAAACACACTTTTTTTGATCTGCGGGGCGAGAGCGAACCTCTTCCGCCAAAAGCTAGGCGGGCTACGCACAGCTTCAATTGGGGAGGCAGGGCACAGGCGGGCGGGGCCTCAGGCGGCCGGAGTGGGCGGGGCCCGGGGTGCAGGCGGTGCCGAAGAGCTTGCACAGGAAAAGGTACGCCGCGGGCAGGGGTCGGAGGCGAGAGGGGGAAAACACACACAGACACCATGAATCGTCGATCCCCAGGAAAATGCAGGAAAGATGGGCAGGGGGGGGGAACACGAAGACCCAGGAAATGTGGAAATTATTGGGAATCTTGCGTGTTCGATCATGGACCCTCTTCTAACGCGGCATATCCTGCTTTCACACCGATGACTGCCGAAGACCGCATCGGGCCGCCGTCCAGACCGCCCAAAGACCACCGAAAACCGCCGAAGACCGCCGAAAGACCGCCGAAAGACCGCCGAAGACCGCCGAAGACCGCCGAAAGACCGCCGAAGACCTCCGAAAGACCTCCGAAGACCGCCGAAAGACCGCCGAAAGACCGCCGAAAGACCGCCGACAGACCGCCGAAGACCGCCTCAGACTGTCGCGGGCCCCTACGCCTGCGGCGGGGCGCGCGCCCGCTAGCGGTTTTCGGCGGTCTTTCGGCGGTCTTCAGAGGCGAAGATGCGTGGCGAGGGGTCCATGATCGAACGCGCAAGGAATCTAGGGATCTGTGTGTATTTATTCGTGTGTGTCTCTGGGCCCCTTCCAAGAGGTACCCATGCGTCTACCCTGCCCTTTGTGTCCTTCTTCTTCAGCCTCCTGGGAAGCCCTCGTCGCCGCCGCTCGAAATTCGGCCTCCTGGGAAGCCCTCGTCGCCGAGCCTGGGCTCGGCTCGAAATCCGAGTCAGAGCGCCCCCCCGGCGATTTTCCGGGAGCTCCCAGAGCGCACGCGGCCCAGCGCCCCGACGGTGTCCGCCACGTGCGTGCGATGGGGCGCCGCCGGCCCGCCGAATCCCGGGTCGCCCGCACGGGGGGCCCGCGCGGGGCGGGCCAGAGGACCGCGCCGCGTCGCCGCTGCCTCGGCGGCGCGGGCCGGGGTGGGGTCCGACTTCCTCCGCGCTGGCGCCGCCGATTTGCCGTACGGCGTCGCCGACGCGTTGCCGACCTCGGCGCTGCGGCGCGTTCCTCCGGCCCCATCTATGTTCGGACGCCGTCCGGGAGGCCTCTGGGCGTGCGCCGCTGGCCCGCTCATCATCGTTTTCAAGTCGCAGCGCAGAGGCATTCCGCACGCGCGCTTCAGTGAGCAGGGCAGCGGCCGGCACTTGGGTTGTCGGGCGGCCCGCTGGTGACACGCTGCCCCCCGCCGTGGGGACAGCAGGCGCCCCGAAGGATCTCTGGCAGGGGGGTGGCGCGCACGGAAGCTCTGCAGGAGCTCTGGCAGGGGGCCCTCGCGGGGGGATCGCCCCGCGGGCTTGGCGTGGTTTTCGGAGATCGATGCTGCCAGCGATCGCTCCAGAGGCCACCATATCCACTCTATCGGATTCGTGCCCCAGGGAGCTCGAGGAGCGGTGGCTGTTGACATCTGCCTGCCCGCGCGGGTGGGTTGGATAGCAACTCATGGGAGCTTTGCATGTCCTCGGAATCCCGTCTTTGGAGAGGGCATGAGCGTGCGTCAGCGTCTGGTAATCGATTGGGGAGCGCCGACTGAGCGTCGATGCGCGTCGGTCAGCATCGATTCGCAAGAGCTAGCAAGATGACATGGGAGGCTCCCGAGAGTTGCCACAGGAACCGCCCTCCGCCAGAATGTGCCCACCATATGCGCCACCTCGGAGTCGTGCCTCTGGGGTCTCGGGCGCCGGTCCTCGAGATCTGAGCGCTGTATCTTTTAAAACACCAGGCGTTATTCGCCCAGTTTCGGGCCCTGGGGCCCTCACAGATCGATCCGGCTCGACACATGTGGCAGAAGGATGGGGTCCAGGGCCTGCGGGCTCTGCTCGTGATTTTCTGCGATGCCGTCATTTTTTGGCGCAGCGCCAGACCTCAGGGGTGCCTGTGGACAGCTGCCCGCGCGCGTGGGCAGGCAGACATCCACATCCGTCGCTCCTCGAGTCCCTGCAGGGACACGGTCCCCGCTGCAGTATATGTTCTCGGCTGCAGCAGATGTTCTCGGCAGTAGATGTTCTCGAGCGGCTCGCTCGGTTTATGTCGCTGTGTCCAAAGTTCGGTCCTTTTTGGATGTGTTGTGCCCGTCTGTGACACTGGGCCACTTGATCTGGTTAGCGTGCAGACGCGGTACCAACACCAGCGCATGGGGCACCTCGCCTGTATATGCGTGGGCCAGATGTATGCAGCAGAATGTCCCGCTGCGCCTGCATGGGAAGCACGTTTGGACTTTCCATTTGGTTTGTGGCATATTTTTGCTATGCGTGTTCATTGTTTCGATGTGCCCTGGCGAATATCGTTTGTGGCTACGATGTGTCATGTTTGTTGTTGGGCTCCGAGCTTCTTGCTCTTGGCCTATGCGTGGTATCGGGTAGGGAAGCGCAATGGCGTGCCCCTTGGATTGCTCGCGAATTTTGCCATTCAAGGAGCAATCATGGGCACTTCCTTTGCAATGGTGCTGAACCCGACGCTAATAACCTCTTGGCGCAATATTTTCCCGAACTTTCACCCGCTGGAGATTATCATGTGCAACATTGCAGCAGCATCAATGTGGATCTTAACTGCAGGCTTGGTCGAAGAGACCTTCAAGGCCGTCTGTCTCTTCTTCCGATTACGCCGCAGCCTCGAGGACGTGCCTGCAACGTGTTGCTTTTGCTTGCCTGCTACTCGAAGCTTATATTGTGGTTGCTGGTACAAGCTAGCTCCGAGTCCATACCATGTGGTCTTGTGCGCCGTCGCTTCTGGTGCTGTTTTCGAGTGCATGGAGAACGTGTCATACGTCTTCGAGAAAAGCGGGATGATCACTGGAACAACCGCGAATACAACATCGACGACGATAATCGTCATCCCTGATCCCTCTGTTCCACCACCCCCTGCCGTGGAACCTTGGCTATTAATGTTGATCACCGCTGTTGGCCGCATGCCGTTCTCCATGTTGCACATGGTATGGACTGGCCTCATCGTCTTGGGCTTCGCAAGGAACATGTTGTTGTCTTGTAGCCGTCGGCCGTCCTTGCCATGGATTGTCCTACCATCCTTTGTCGCTCACGGAGTCAGCGACTATGCCCTTTCTGCGATGGCATCGGCTGCAAAATATGGTCATCCCGGCTTGGCATATCTTTTCTTGCCAATCGCAATGTTCGTTTCTATCGGAAGTCGTTCCTTGATCGAGAGGCAAACTGAATGTCGCGTTTTTTTTTTTTTTTTTTTTTTTGTTTTTTGTTTTTTTTTTCTGTTGTGCCGAATGTTGTTTCGCTCCCGGTTTTCGGCATGACATGTTTGGCGTTGATGGTGTGCCAGCTTGGGCTGCCGATGTCTTCGTAGTGAGACCGCGAATCAATACGTCGCGATATCAAGATGTGATGCATCGAGATTCTAATGTGATGTTGCGCCAGCTGTGATGAATCGAAATTGTGCGGTCACGCCTTCCTTCTCTCTTCGAAAACGTATTCTAGACTACAGAGTTGATCTACCGCAAACTAGATTGTTCCGTCGAATCTACGGAAATACTCATAAGGCTCCGTCGACCTACTGAACATTCTACGTATTTTTTCGCAGATTCGACGGAGCAGTCAATCTTAGAGTAACACAATTTTGTAGTCGAGTCCCTACTCGTCGAAATATGGACATTTTCACTTGAATCCGACGCTGCGGACAAATTGCAACATCGCAGCAAAATCAAGGCTGGAGCCCCAGACCCCATCTTGCTTCGGCGGGATCGATCTGGCCCGAGGCAAGAAAACGGGCGAAAACGCCCGGTGTGAGAGGAATATCCAGCGCCCCAATGTTTCCGACACGTGAACCCCCGGTGGCCTGGACCGCTTCCATGGGGCCCGCTCAAGGCCTTTGGAGGTCGAAGACGGCCCCCAATTGGCTGCTCCAATTGTACAGATGCAACTCCTGGGAGGTCAAATTCTGTTTTCGCCCTGGTCCGAAATTCGGTTTAATCCAGCTAAATCCCGCTTAATCCCGCTTAATCCCGTTTAATCCAGCTTAATCCCGCTTAATCCGAGGCCCATTTCGGCGTAACAGCTCCCAAATGGGGCTTAATCCTCCTTAATCTTTCCGACGAAAACCTCCCAGCAGTTGCCTCCTAACAATTGAGCGACGTAGAAAAACAGGCTCGCCTGCGCCGACTAAGCTGCCCCCCTGAGGTCGCGCGTGAGTGCCCTCGCTCCCACCGTGGCATGCCGCGCTGGCGGCCCGGGGGGAGCCACCGCGTAAGGTCGCCATGCCATGTCGCGTAAACCGGCGGCGAGCGAGGGGGGGAAGTTGAGAAGGAAAAGGCCTTCTCAGAAGGCCTCGGGACTTCACCCAGAAGTCCTCGTGCCTTCTCAGAGGTTTGTTGTGTCTTCGGGGAAGGCTTAGAAAACTTTTTAGAAGGCCGAGGGACTTCGATCCTTCTGAGAAGGCCTTCCCCTTCTCGCTTTCCCCCAGGCTCGCCTCCGAGTAGGACCCTTCTGTTGATCGTCGCTCAAGTGATCGAAGACGACGACGACGACGACGACGACGACGACGACGACGACGACGACGACGACGACGACGACGACGACGACGACGACGACGACGACGACGACGACGACGACGACGACGACGACGACGACGGCCTCCCAAGTGTGGTCCGAGTAGATGAGGTGGAAGGATCGCGTCGCATCGCCGATGCGGCGCGGACCCCCTGTAGGAGGCCTCTAGATAAGAAGGGGAGGGAAAGAGTAGGACGCAGAGGACGAGGGGGACGAGGCGTGCCTGGGGCCACCGTCCTTGGCTGGTGGGTCCTTGTCGCCGCGGCTGG